GTCGCCGTGGAATGCTACGTCACGCGCTGACCAGCGCTCCACAGTGCGGCGGATGGTTATTCTAGCGGGACAAAATCTCAAGAGCAATGTTTGGGACTTAAAATCTAAGAACGTAGCAAATGGTTTAATATATAGCAACTATATGGTTAAATTTATTTATTTATTAACAACTTATTTATATTTTATTAATAACTTATTAATTTATATTTTATTAATTACTTACTTATAATTTATTAATAAATAAATACAAAAGATAATAAAACTATGATATTATTCCTATATGACACACAAAAACCGTATTGTAAACTATTGCCAAATACATAAAATGATGATATCAGGTGAAATACTTACAAAAAACTCTTTAGCATTTATTTTTTAATTACTTTGTAATCTTGTGACACCCTCTATATTTTATTTTAAAAAATTATATTTTATCTTAAAAATATTAATTAAGATAGATATTTTAATTTTCATTTTAACACTCGGTAATTGTAAATTCATATATAGTAAGTATCTAAGACAATTTTTTAAACTCAGTGCCTTTTGATGGAGTTGTTTTGTTTTTATACTATCCGATTGAAATGAAACTTTTTGGGCATTCACCTGTTAAGCTTGAACTCCCTGTGACTGTCACTACCTGTGTTGGTAACTATTGGTAACTCAAAAGATCTACATCATTCAATATATCGATATTTGAAAAAGAGTGAAAGTTTGATATCTGCAGAACAAAGGCCACGAAGGATTTTAACAAATAATATACGTACAGTAGAAAAGTACATATATTTGGCAATCTTCAACATAATTTGGCTTTGGAATAAAATGTATAAGCACTTGTAAATATATTGTTTTCGTATGATCTCTGCCTTGCTGAGCAGAAAACGACCAAATTTGGTTGATAAAAATGTATCGAAATACAAAGAATATTCATGCATTTTTATATCAATTGGAATGTCTACTATTTATTCTTACAGTACACATTTTTTGGTTTATTTCTAACCAAACGCTTTTGTCCCGCTAAATTTATCTTCCAACGCACTGTGCGCTCATCCGTCAAATGCAAAAATAACTGTCACTGTCTAAAATCTTTAGCGCCAACTTCAACTCGGTCCTCAGATGACGTAAAAAAACTGACAGTGCAGGAAGATAGGAATCGAACTATCCTTATCTCTATAGTATCCTTGAAACTGGCTAGGTATTTTTACACAAATGAAGAAGAAAATTAAAGATAAAGGAATATACTATATCCGTATTATAGCACATTTTTAGACAACTTCCTTATTTTTTTAAGATTTTGATGGTCAAACATCAACAAAATATTCTTTATGTTTGGACTAAATGTTCTCGAAAATAAAGACATAATTTAAAATTCCGTTACAATACGGAAATAGCTTGAAGTTTTGTGATTACAGTGATATATAATTTATATGGTTTTGTAACAAATTGCTCGCTATTTTATGGCAAATGCTGAAGCTCTGCAAACCTTAATCAAGCCTTAATTAAAGCAGAATTCATTATACAAAATGGTCAAAATTCTACGAAAAAACTTTATTAGTTACTTTTATGCCTAGGTGTTAAAATGGCTTTTTATATTGTCAATCACGTCGCAAAAATTAATACTTCTGTGACGTTTGAAAAAAAAACTTTTTTTTTTCCTTTAAAACACATGTTTTTTTATTTGGGATTATGTTTAGTTTAGATGGCATTCAAAATTAAGAAGTAGCAGAATTTAAAAAAAATAATTTTTAACTAGCGGTCTATTTTTGATACCGCCGGTAGGTAGGCAAGTTTTAATTAGAATTCGAAAGGTAAATAGTCTTGGCAATCGTCTTAATCCCCCGATCAAATATTAGCCGGCGGTTTTAAACGATAAAACAACTTTACCGGTCGGCGCGGAATTATTCAAACAACCACAGGAACCCTCGACCTTCTCTAAATGATTAAAATCAATTAAGCAAATTATATGGACGTGCCTATCGATCCGCCGACTCCGCGATAATCTAACTGATAAAATCCCGCCGATTTTAACCTTTAAAGGCACCCATACACTTCGGTTATTTTGCGCGGATTTAACCGTACGTGTAGGACTGTCGTTAAAAACGTCAGTGTATGTGAGGTGTTCTGGTTTTTCCCCAATTTCCTTACAGAATCTGCACAATTTTCTCAATTTCCCCAATTTCCTTACAATCCCCAATTTCCTTACAATATCCGCACTCTGTTCAGAAGAACATAGCAAAAGATATAATAAAGAACCAGCTTTCTTAAAATGCTCTCTCGAAAACGTTCTTAGCTCTTAAACTAGTAAAACAGCGAAATCGTTATGTAAATGAAAATATAAAATGACACCAATCACAAGAAAACCGTACCGTAAAATGGGGTGAATAGAAACATAGGGGTGAATAGAAACAAAATTTCTGAAAAAAAAATTAAATCACGATTAAAAATATTCAAAGTAAAAAGAGTCGACATATCTAATTTTTCTATCATTGGTAATACACAATAAAATGTAAAAACTATATTTTTATCTGTGGCAGGACTGTTTCTGTCAATCAGCTGATCAATAAATGTGAGATCGATTTATCACCTATTTTGTATGGCGCGAAAACTTTATAAATAAAATATTTATTTTTAAAGTAATACTTAAGCTGGTACATGTAAGTTGTTATATTATATGTATTGTTAATTATTGCTAAACCTACTTAAATATGTAATAATTATCTGTTTCTAATCACCTTGTTGGAAATAGAATAGATAAAACCTTAACATCAATGTGTGTTTTTATTCTCCCGAATAGCAGGTGAATAGAAACACAAAAGTTATTTTTATTTAATATTTATATGCATATTTTTCAAAAATCAAATTATATGTATACGCAAAGAACAAACAAAGACCCATGTTTTAAAATATTCGGGAACATAATACCACATTTTTATCAACCGGTATATCGCTAATAGCCTACGAAACTGTTTCTATTCACCCCATTTTACGGTACATCCGATGAACGGAGGCATGAAAATGCAATAAAATTAAAAACTGCCCAATTTTGTAACCAATCTAAATTCAACCAATAAAATTAATATCGATCATCGTATTGTTGGACAACGGATGCATGAAACTCAAGCTTAAGCATTGAAAAATTTATTCGAATATCTTAGACGTTTGTCTAGTTAATGGAGTATTCCTTTTCTAGCTAAATCGTTTGCTGTTTTAGTTCTTTTTTCCCTTGGAACTATTTTTGCGTAATTCGTTCAGCTTTTAAAATAACTATTTACGACTTGACTGTAAAATCAACAGGCGAACCAATATTTGGATATTCATTCATTTGCATAGGATTTCCACCACCTGGTATGTGAAAATGCAAATGAAAATGTATAATTAATAGTTTTTCCATGTTAGAATGTTCTTGACCCTTTTCTATTTCACCCTTATTATTTCATATTAACGAAGGACTATAAAGATGGGGTTGATAAGGTATTTAGAACACTATACCATTGCTCCATTTATTATATTAACGGTAAATTTTGCCGAATGACCTTAATCAATCATCATACGCTCCAAAAATAATCACGCAAAAAAAATCCACAGCCACAAATTTCAGATATTATTATTAGCATTTCTTTTTACGATATTTTTGGAAATATCAAAAGAACAGTTAACAAAAGAGATGTTATAGTTTCTTTCTGTTATGATTTGAAAATAACATTTCGGTTTTTGTTTGTTTTGACAAAAAATTTATTTTTGGGAGTGTCTAAAAATACCGGGTGCGTCTCAAAAGTGGCTCACCCCCTATAACTTTTTTATTAGATCATTTATTTATTTATATTAATTACTTAAATAAATCTTAAATAATTAGTTAATAAATCATATACGAAAATGTCAAAAGTTGGTATATGATACGACATTCTTTCTTTAGAGTGCCATTTTCTACCGAATAAAAAATGTAAAAAATACCTAGGGTGCCATTTAAAAATCAAAATTTGTAGTCATTTCTGGTGAAACAGGAAGTGACCGAAAACAATTGAATACGTCAATCAATCCTAATTTATGTCATATACTGATATACCAAATCTCGTTTTTTTATCTGAAAAAATAAAAAAGTTATAGAGGTAAACCATTTTTCAGACACACCCGGTATAGTATCTGAAAAGTGGTAAAAATCTGGAGTAAATTTAACTTTGGATTGGACTTCCTCGCACTAATGCACCACCCTGTATTATTATAAAGCTTTTATTATCGGAATTGTCTACGGACACATTCACGGGATTATAAAAGTATCTTTAAAGTCCCGTAGTCGTATATCTAAACACTCCCAACATGGTCACGTTCGTTTATGAATTTAAAATAATAATCCTATTTAAGTAAAATCTAATTTTAAAAGTGTCTAACAATACGGCGACGTGATTTTAGACTGTGTCATGAAATCCCGTCAAATTATTTTTAAAACTCTTATTAGTTTAACTCTACTAAAGTCATATATAAATTTACTTTAGAGTTCGTTACGATATTCACAAAGAACGGATTCCAACAAAATAAAAATGTACATATTTTTTTTGATCGTAAATTTCTCAATGGAAAATAATTTTCTTTGCCTTTTATTACTATTTCTTTTTCGCGTTGCCACGTCGTCTAGACGTATTTAATTCTCTTTTCGCTTGTTTTTTACTAGTTTTTCCATCAGAGGTAAATTATTGTGATTCTTCACCTCCACAATGCATTCTTTCTGGTTTTTTACTGAAAGCAAAATTAAACGAAATACAATTCTCGGTTAGTTCTTAGTCAGGATTCAAGATTATTTCTTTGTTTTTCTGGTTCTTTTGTTCAAAAATAATTATTTTAAGGTTTGTAAAATTTCAAGTTATTTTTTCTCTAAATAAATGGAAAAAAAGAGACGTATTTATCCCAACTACTACCCAAAATATTAACAAAATATTTATATTTACATTTACTTCGCTGTTGCAATTTCTATGCTACATAGTATATTTATAATACTTTTTTCTTTTCAGAAATGACCCTTGAGGATGTCTTCAACTATGACGCCCCCTACGGGCGACATGTCAATCAACGACACCTCCCTGTCACCCACATCGGCTCCTTTCGGCATCCAGCAGATGGCACTAGTCGTTCTTTTGAGCGTGGTCATCGTCATAGTCGTGATAGGCAACACTCTGGTCATAGCTTCCGTCATCACGACCAGAAGACTGAGAACTGTGACAAATTGCTTCATAATGTCACTAGCTGTTGCTGATTGGTTGGTTGGGATCTTTGTCATGCCCCCAGCAGTGGCGTACTTGATTATGGGTAAGAAATAATATGTATATTTTAGAGATATGCATACTTATTCATAGCAAGATTTTTAACTGGCTCAGGATGGTGAAAGTTTGTGTGAAACTTCGTAACCTAAAAGAACCTTCTTACAAGCAATAGACAAAAACTACTTTTCTTATAAAAAACTACTGTCCTTATAACAAAAAATTACAAATTTATTTCAATAAAAACGTTATTTCTAGGTGCTTGGGAGCTTGGTTGGGTTCTATGTGACATCTGGGTATCACTAGACATCCTACTATGCACAGCTTCAATTCTAAGCTTATGCGCTATCAGCGTTGATCGATATCTAGCTGTGACGCAGCCTTTAAAGTACTCCAGGAACAGGAGATCAAAAAGACTGGCTTTCTGGATGATCATGGTCGTGTGGGTTAGTTCTGCGTTGATCACAGCGCCCCCTATGTTTGGATGGTAAGATAATACTATAAGGAATCTAATACAAGATATAAGAAAAAAGTTTATTATTATATCCCAGAAATTAATATCTATTCTATTTTTTATAGTCTTTTTGGTTATATTTCTTACTTTTAAATAAAGTGCAAGAATTATAAAGGTTATTATTTATTTTTTAATTACCATCTTCAAAATAAATTGAAACTAACCGAGTTATTTACCTTGTCCATCGGCAGCTTATCATTAGCTGAAGAAGTATGATTCTTCGGTTGTGGGGTATAAATTCATTATTAAATAACATTATTATTATCAAAAGAATATACTAAAACCGAATTATAGCGGGAAAACTTTCCTGGACTGGGTCCTTTTGAACTAGATGGCATGTGTCCATCAGCAGTTTACCATTAGCTGAAGAAGTATGATTCTTCGGTTGTGGGGTACAAATTCATTATTAAATAACGTTATTATGATCAAAAGAATATATTAAAACCGAATTATAACGAGACAACTTTCCTGGACTGGGTCCTTTTGAACTGGATGGCATGTGTCCATCAGCAGTTTACCATTAGCTGAAGAAGAATGATTCTTCGGTTGTGGGGTATAAATTCATTATTAAATAACATTATTATTATCAAAAGAATATATTAAAACCAAATTATAACCAGAAACCTTTCCTGGACTGGGTCCTTTCGAACTGGATGGAATGTGTCCATCAGCAGTTTACCATTAGCTGAAATTCTTTATTAAATAACATTATTATGATCAAAAGAATATATTAAAACCGAATTATAACGAGAAAACTTTCCTGGACTGGGTCCTTTTGAACTGGATGGCATGTGTCCATCGGCAGTTTACCATTAGCAGAAGAAGTATGATTCTTCGGTTGGGGGGTATAAATTCTTTATTAAATAACATTATTATGATCAAAAGAATATATTAAAACCGAATTATAACAAGAAAACTTTCCTGGACTGGGTCCTTTTGAACTGGATGGCATGTGTCCATCAGCAGTTTACCATTAGCTGAAGAAGTATGATTCTTCGATTATGGGGTATAAATTCATTACTAAATAACATTATTATGACCAAAAGAATATATTAAAACCGAATTATAACGAGAAAACTTTCCTGGACTGGGTCCTTTTGAACTGGATGGCATGTGTCCATCGGCAGTTTACCATTAGCAGAAGAAGTATGATTCTTCGGTTGGGGGGTATAAATTCTTTATTAAATAACATTATTATGATCAAAAGAATATATTAAAACCGAATTATAACAAGAAAACTTTCCTGGACTGGGTTCTTTCGAACTGGATGAAATGTGTCCATCAGCAGTTTACCATTAGCTGAAGAAGTATGATTCTTCGGTTGGGGGGTATAAATTCATTATTAAATAACATTATTATGATCAAAAGAATATATTAAAACCGAATTATAACGAGAAAACTTTCCTGGATTGGGTCCTTTCGAACTGGATGGAATGTGTCCATCAGCAGTTTACCATTAGCTGAAGAAGTATGATTCTTCGGTTGTGGGGTATAAATTCATTATTAAATAACATTATTATGATCATAAGAATATATTAAAACCGAATTATAACGAGAAAACTTTCCTGGACTGGGTCCTTTTGAACTGGATGGCATGTGTCCATCAGCAGTTTACCATTAGCTGAAGAAGTATGATTCTTCGGTTGTGGGGTATAAATTCATTATTAAATAACATTATTATGACCAAAAGAATATATTAAAACCTAATTATAACGAGAAAACTTTTTTGGACTGGGTCCTTTTGAACTGGATGGCATGTGTTCATCAGCAGTTTACCATTAGCTGAAGCAGTATGATTCTTCGGTTGTGGGGTATAAATTCATTATTAAATAACATTATTATGATCAAAAGAATATATTAAAACCTAATTATAACGAGAAAACTTTCCTGGACTGGGTCCTTTTGAACTTGATGGCATGTGTCCATCAGCAGTTTACCATTAGCTGAAGAAGTATGATTCTTCGGTTGTGGGGTATAAATTCATTATTAAATAACATTATTATGATCAAAAGAATATATTAAAACCGAATTATAACGAGAAAACTTTCCTGCACTGGGTCCTTTTGAACTGGATGGAATGTGTCCATCAGCAGTTTACCATTAGCTGAAGAAGTATGATTCTTCGGTTGGGGGTATAAATTCATTATTAAATAACATTATTATCATCAAAAGAATATATTAAAACCGAATTATAACGAGAAAACTTTCCTGGACTGGGTCCTTTCGAACTGGATGGAATGTGTCCATCAGCAGTTTACCATTAGCTGAAGAAGTATGATTCTTCGATTGTGGGATATAAATTCATTATTAAATAACATTATTATGATCAAGAGAATATATTAAAACTGAATTATAACGAGAAAACTTTCCTGGACTGGGTCCTTTTGAACTTGATGGCATGTGTCCATCAGCAGTTTACCATTAGCTGAAGAAGTATGATTCTTCGGTTGTGGGGTATAAATTCATTATTAAATAACATTATTATGATCAAAAGAATATATTAAAACCGAATTATAACGAGAAAACTTTCCTGGACTGGGTCCTCTTGAACTGGATGGGATGTGTCCATCAGCAGTTTACCATTAGCTGAAGAAGTATGATTCTTCGGTTGGGGGGTATAAATTCATTATTAAATAACATTATTATGATCAAAAGAATATATTAAAACCGAATTATAACGAGAAAACTTTCCTGGACTGGGTCCTTTCGAACTGGATGGAATGTGTCCATCAGCAGTTTACCATTAGCTGAAGAAGTATGATTCTTCGATTGTGGGATATAAATTCATTATTAAATAACATTATTATGATCAAGAGAATATATTAAAACTGAATTATAACGAGAAAACTTTCCTGGACTGGGTCCTTTCGAATTGGATGGAATGTGTCCATCAGCAGTTTACCATTAGCTGAAGAAGTATGATTCTTTGGTTGTGGGGTATAAATTTATTATTAAATAACATTATTATGATCAAAAGAATATATTAAAACCGAATTATAACGAGAAAACTTTCCTGGACTGGCTCCTTTCGAACTGGATGGAATGTGTCCATCAGCAGTTTACCATTAGCTGAAGAAGTATGATTCTTTGGTTGTGGGGTATAAATTTATTATTAAATAACATTATTATGATCAAAAGAATATATTAAAACCGAATTATAACGAGAAAACTTTCCTGGACTGGCTCCTTTCGAACTGGATGGAATGTGTCCATCAGCAGTTTACCATTAGCTGAAGAAGTATGATTCTTTGGTTGTGGGGTATAAATTCATTATTAAATAACATTATTATGATCAAAAGAATATATTAAAACCGAATTATAACGAGAAAACTTTCCTGGACTGGGTCCTTTTGAACTGGATGGAATGTGTCCATCAGCAGTTTACCATTAGCTGAAGAAGTATGATTCTTCGGTTGTGGGGTATAAATTCATTATTAAATAACATTATTATGACCAAAAGAATATATTAAAACCGGATTATAATGAGAAAACTTTCCTGGACTGGGTCCTTTTGAACTGGATGGAATGTGTCCATCAGCAGTTTACCATTAGCTGAAGAAGTATGATTCTTTGGTTGTGGGGTATAAATTTATTATTAAATAACATTATTATGATCAAAAGAATATATTAAAACCGAATTATAACGAGAAAACTTTCCTGGACTGGGTCCTTTCGAACTGGATGGAATGTGTCCATCAGCAGTTTACCATTAGCTGAAGAAGTATGATTCTTCAGTTGTGGGGTATAAATTCATTATTAAATAACATTATTATGATCAAAAGAATATATTAAAACCGAATTATAACGAGAAAACTTTCCTGGACTAGGTCCTTTTGAACTGTATGGCATGTGTCCATCAGCAGTTTACCATTAACTGAAGAAGTATGATTCTTTGGTTGTGGGGTATAAATTCATTATTAAATAACATTTTTATGGTCAAAAAAATATATTAAAACCGAATTATAACGAGAAAACTTTCCTGGATTGGGTCCTTTCGAACTGGATAGAATGTGTCCATCAGCAGTTTACCATTAGCTGAAGAAGTATGATTCTTCGGGTGTGGGGTACAAATTCATTATTAAATAACATTATTATGATCAAAAGAATATATTAAAACCGAATTATAACGAGAAAACTTTCCTGGACTGGGTCCTTTCGAACTGGATGGAATGTGTCCATCAGCAGTTTACCATTAGCTGAAGAAGTATGATTCTTCGGTTGTGGGGTATAAATTCATTATTAAATAACATTATTATTATCAAAAGAATATATTAAAACCAAATTATAACCAGAAACCTTTCCTGGACTGGGTCCTTTCGAACTGGATGGAATGTGTCCATCAGCAGTTTACCATTAGATGAAGAAGTATGATTCTTCGGTTGTGGGGTATAAATTCATTATTAAATAACATTATTATTATCAAAAGAATATATTAAAACCAAATTATAACCAGAAACCTTTCCTGGACTGGGTCCTTTCGAACTGGATGGAATGTGTCCATCAGCAGTTTACCATTAGCTGAAGAAGTATGATTCTTCGGTTGTGGGGTATAAATTCATTATTAAATAACATTATTATGATCAAAAGAATATATTAAAACCGAATTATAACGAGAAAACTTTCCTGGACTGGGTCCTTTCGAACTGGATGGAATGTGTCCATCAGCAGTTTACCATTAGCTGAAGAAGTATGATTCTTCGGTTGTGGGGTATAAATTCATTATTAAATAACATTATTATGATCAAAAGAATATATTAAAACCGAATTATAACGAGAAAACTTTCCTGGACTGGGTCCTTTCGAACTGGATAGGATGTGTCCATCAGCAGTTTACCATTAGCTGAAGAAGTATGATTCTTCTGTTGTGGGGTATAAATTCATTATTAAATAACATTATTATGATCAAAAGAATATATTAAAACCGAATTATAACGAGAAAACTTTCCTGGACTGGGTCCTTTCGAACTGGATGG